ATACTGAGAGCTCTGCTTTGGTAGGAGACTGACGAAACCAGCACGAAATAGAGATGAGGCTTTCGGGTTGATCTTTCACGTGGCTCTCGATTGTATTTCCGACATCATGGATGCAGCCTGCTTGCGCCTTGCGCCCTACATGAGAGGTGCTGGTTCCTGCTTCGCATATGCGATAGCAGGGGGCATAGATACGGAAGGCTACATAATGCGATGCGTAAATCCCCACGACCATCCTTTTCCTTTCTAGCCCAGGATTTCAGGAGATGAGGTTTTCGGGCTGTATCATGCACATTACCGTCTCTAGAAATTGTGCTGATAACTAAATTTTAAATCTGCTATGAATGTTCTAGGAAATGATATGACTGTTGATCCTCCCGAGGTGGCCATTGCGAGCCAGCCAGCTCCTGCACCGACTCCTGTTCCACAGCCTGTGGGGGCACCCAGCCTTCAGAGCTTCGGCCTGGGCCTAGACGCCTTAACCCGAAGAAGCCTGGCCGAGTGCGGCCGTTTACGAACCATGTGAGCTAGGTTGGGCTTCCTCTTTGATTGGAAGGAGTTGTATTTCAAAAGAGTTTGAAGATGTCGGAGAAGCACATTCTTGGTTTGCCCGATGCTCAGTGCTACTCATACTGGAGTTTTCGAAAATTAGGGGTACCTTACTTTGGGGTCCTTATAACAAGGATCCTACTATTTAGGGTACCATATTAGGGCCCCCTATTTTCGGAAACTCCCAAACCTCGACCTGTTTTGTGTAGACATCTCCGCAGTAGATCAGGCTCAGAGCTCCTCCGACCTCCCACAGCCAGCACCGGCACCGGTAGCCCGGGACTTACCCGCGGAGCAGGGATTGCTTTGTGGGGGCTTTTTTCCCGTGCGCGGGGAGGGGCTTGTTTAGGTGAGGAATGCTTGAGCGCTTCAGGGCTCCTGACGGGGCTGTGGATCTTTTGGAAAAGATGCTTGAGGACTGGGCGTAGGCAAGGTTCGTGTAAGGATTGAGGCACCTGTGTGAGGCTGAGAGCTTCAGGAGCAGGGCTTTCAGACTAAGTTGGCGGGCTGCTTGCGAGGTTTCAACATAGGTTGGCGACCTCCGACGTGGAAAGTTCAGAGAAATAACTCCTAGCGGAATGTGTGCGTTGCCGATATTACTCATTACTGTTGTTGTCATGTTCTTGATTGTTATTATCCTCTGCTGGGCATCATTACAATATCTGTCCGGCAGGGCAATAGTGTTATGAGATGAGCATTCGCAATATCATCATTCTGAGTCTTGTGATTGTGAGTTCTGTTGTTTATTCTTCTTTTTGCTGGATATCGATTTGGGACAGCTTTTAATTTCCCCATCTAGAGCCTTAACTATACATGATTTTGGGAGCTGTTGAGATCGACATCTAGTTTAAGATGAAAATTCTTAGCAGTAGTAGTACCAATTTCAATTATTGTTGTTGTTTAATGAGTTCATTATTCTTATGCTTATCATTGTTATTCTTCGATATGTTGCTTGTATTATGATCATAAACGACTAAAGGATGCTTTCGCAGGCGGTTTAGGAGCAAGTGCCGCGTCGAAGACTGACGGTTTCGGGCCTGCTAGGGCTGTAGGGTTTTAAGATTTAGCGTTTAGGGTTTAGGATTTCGCGTTTTGGGCTGAAGCCGAAGCCCTTATCAAGGCTCTTGGGGCATTGGCCTGGAAATCCGAGCTGGACATACTAGCATATTACGATTACAATTCTCGCTCTCATTTTGTTCTCATTGTCATTGTTGTTCTCTTATTCAAGCTATTCTTACTTGTACCATTGTCATTACTACTACTCTTGTAATTACCTGTTTTAGTGTGGTTATTACCTTGAAAGTTTCCTCAGGCCCTGGCACCGTTTCGCCGTCCTGGGCAAGACCTCCCACAGCCGGCACCGGCACCGGTAGCCCGGGACTTACCCGCGGAGCAGGGGTAGCTTCGTGGGGGCTTTTCCCGTGCGCGGGGGGGGCGTATTTGGGTGAGGAATGCTTGAGCGCTTCAGGGCTCCGGTCGGGGCTGTGGATTTTTTGGAAAAGATGCTTGAGGACTGGGCTTAGGCAAAGTTCGTGCAAGCATGGAGGCACCTGTGTGAGGCTGAGAGCTTCAGGAGCAGGGCTTTCAGACTCAGTTGGCAGGCTGCTCGCTGGCGACCTCCGACGTGGAAAATTCAGAGAAGTAACTCCTACAAGGTTGTAGCGGAATGTGTGCCACGTTACCTTTATCTCTCATGACTGTTCTTGTCATGCCCATTATTGTCATTATCCTATGTTGTGCAAAAATGCATCTATCAGTATTGTTCTTGTCAGCATGAGTTATTGACTTGAGTTTTCGTACTATCATCATGAAGAGTCTTATGATTGTCGTTTTTGTTGTCAATGTTGTTCTTAGTAATGATTGTTCCCATCAGTGTTATTATCATAAAAGACGAGGGGATGCCCTCGCAGGACGATAGGAGCAGGTACCGACTCGAAGACTGACGATTGGTGGGCTGCCAGGGCTTAGGGTTTAAGATTTAGGGTTTACCGGGCGGTGGTAAAGGCCCGATGCAAAAAGGGTTTAAGGTCTGCTGTTGAGTGTTTGCTGGCACACAATCCAAGCCCATGCTGAAAAGAGTGTTTAGGGTTTAGGATTTCGCGTTTAGGGCTCAAGCCCTTATCAAGGCTCTGGGCTTGGGGCACTAGCCTGGAAATCCGAAGCTAGACACGTCGATCCAAGGAGAAGACGGAGAAACCGGGCCAAGGGACGGCAGGAAGCTCAATCTGACAAATCAGGTTAGGTAGTCATCTTGAGAATAGCCCGTAATAACAGAACCCGAACGAAAACCCTTAAATGCGAAAAGCTCAGAGATATCCAGGATACCCCTAATACACCCGTCTCCAACAAACCCTTCTCCCTTTGTAAGGATTATTTGGCATTCTCAGGACTTTACAAAGGGTGGTTATTGATCAAGGGTCAACATATGTCAAGCATAATTATGTGAATCTGTTCCTCTAGTCCAGTTTCTGCCCGAGACGATAAGGTATCGGAGGTATCCCTGCAAATCCCCTTCCTCCAACTTCCAATCGGTGATTTGTCGCTCCTGACGTTTCGGGGCCAGATGGAGAGAAAGTGTTCTTCCCCCAAAACCAGTTGTCGATTGTGCCAAGCAAGGACGAAGGTGGCCTGTAAATCTTCCGAGATGAACAAGACGCCTCACAACGCAGCCCTGTAGCTTGTGTGGGAACAGTGTCGAGTTTCGTTTCGGAAGACTCTTCCCACGAAGGGGTAGTCTCCGAAAACAGTTCGTTCAGGCTGGTGGGGGGCTTGGACAAGGCATCTTTTTTTCAGCCCCCAGCCAGCACCAACCCACAGAAAGGTGAATAGCTTCAGCCTGCGGACCACAGCGAAACCTGTGCTCTGTTATCCTCGTGGTGTGGAGCAGAGCCGAACCTCGAAACCCGGAACCCCTCTAGCGAACCCCTGGACATACTAGCATATTACAATTACAATTCTTACTCTCATTTTGTTCTTATAGTCATTATTGTCATCTTTATTCATATTGCCACCATTACCAGCACCGTTGTCATCACCCGTGTTGTTACCTTGAAAATTTCCTCAGGCCCTGGCACCGTTTCGCCGTCCTGGGCAAGAGTGCAGCCCCCGGAATCATCTTGGAAGGGTTCGAGGTTACAGGGCCTCATGCGATTGCACAAGTCCTGATGCAAACAAGGGTTTTAAGTCTGGGGTTTAGGGGTGAAATCTGATATATGCGTATATTTAGATATATATATGTACATATCTATAAAGATCAAGCGATGCGGCTACAGACTTGCAGCGCGAAGGAACCATGCCCCTAGATCAGGCCGATATCGCACGACTGTGGTCCGAAAACATGATTTTCGGGAGATTTACTTGAAAGGTGTCTGACCCCTGACACATTTGTGTCATGATTGGAGGTATGAGGCCAGCAGCTCGAGAAGTCTCGGCCAGAGCATGTGAAGGAACAATATGTAGTTAGAGTCTTAGGTCTTAGTAGTTCGTAAGACTATCCCGGGACAGTCCTTCTGTAGTCAGACCAGAATTTCCACAAGTCCCAAAATCGTATTCTAAGTTTTAAAGGCCCATATGTTTAGGCTTCCAGTGAACGGATGACGATGTAGAGCAGAGCAGTTGGCCTGTTGTTGGACATGACCCCGTTTCGGCATATTGCCTACAAAAGGGGTGCTCTAAGGGATCTCTACGGGTCTACAAGGATTTCGTGGTAAGGGTGTCTCGGGCTTTTGGCATTTAGGGTTGTAGCTTATGAGCCCCCAACCCCCTAAACCCTAAGCCCCTAAACTCAAAACCCTAAACTCATGATGCTGATGGCGGTTCTGAAAGCTGCTGTGGCTCCCGTCGCGGCTCTCAAACCGAAACGACATGGGGCAAAAGGAGGGCCCGGCCCTCCTCTCCTGCCCCTGAGTGGTTTTCAGAGAGTAGGCTCCAAGCAGAGTTTATACCTGATTCTTACACATCATTACAGACAAGCCTGATTTCTTCGGATGGATTTCCGGACCCCTTCATTGTTCTAGCCTAAACAAAGGTGTCGCAACAGCCTTGCGCAGCCGGCATGCAGCAAATACCATAAGCTCGGGTTTGTCAATCTTCAGCTCAGCCTTGATTCTTGCGAAGTAGGTTGGCTCGGTCAACGGACGAGCGGAGCCACGAAGGCAGGGGATTGCCTGTCGACATTCTGTATATACGAGCCAAGCCAGGTAAGTAGTGGGTATGTACGACTGAAACCCAGAAACACATGTCATGCATGTGGGTCACGGAGGTATCACGGGTATGTATCGCATGCATTGAGAGGTTTCCAGATCCATCCATGCTAGGGTGCGGCCCCGCATGCTCGTGTTCCAGCTTGTCGCTCCGAAGTCAGTGTGGCGGTTTGGGTGCCGACAGCCAACAGCCATTTGGCCCGCGGATAGTACCACCGCTGCCGCTCGTGCCACCCCTTGGGCGCTGGGAAGATGGGGATTGACATCACCGCCGGTGGCCGACAGAAGGCATATTTCAATGGCTGCCTGCGGTTGTTATTGGTTCATGTTCGAACATCGGTTCTTTGCTCGCACATCTCAATCGAGGGATTTCGGTGTTTGACGGGGCGCAAGATTGGCTTCCAAGCACTTGGAGACTAGATCAACAAGTAGCAGGTGCGTAAGTTCATGAGCAAGCAGATGAGTAATCGCCAATGGTGTGCTGCCTACGTTTCTCCAGAGCCAAAGTTTCGCGGGTCGATCCTTTGGGATGGTCCTGGAACTCGACGCGCAATACAGATGTCTCTAAGTAGCAATGTCCCCATGCAGTCCCTCCAGAACTATACGGTACGATACTATACATCATGCACCCACCTCCTGGGAAGTCTGTTCGCCCGTAGCTGCAGCGCCAGGCAAGGCGCCAGTCCTTTCGGAGTCAGTTCGGAAACCCCGGCCCCAAACCCCACAACCCCAAACACCAATGCGGGCTTTGTCCTTGCTCGGTAGGAAGGAAACAATGCCCTGCAATGCGGGCTCGTCCGTGCGATGTAGGAGGCAAGAAATGCCCTGGGAAGCCCGAAGCCTTGTCCCATCCTCTGTTGTTTCGTGTCGTTTCTGAATTTCAACATGCGCGCTTGGAGGTGAAGAAGCGCGAGGTGAAGTCGGACAACCCATACCTGCTGTGGCTGGGATCAAACGGAGCCTCATGCAAAGTAGGAGCCCGGTTGAGAAAGCCGTCGCTCTAGACACCCGAAGTCGTACGGCCCATGTTCAAAACCACTGTAAGAACCAGCGGCTGCCCGGTCGGTTTATGCAGGGGCTTCTATGCAGAGTTGGAGATGTTGCATCTGGGAGCCATAGAGCTGTAGGAACATCCGTCCGGGTGTGGTGTTCCGGGAAGGAGCTTGCTTTGCACATGGCACCGGCCGAGTTTTGACATCGGAAAGCCCGTTCCCCAAGCCCTTCTGAACTCCAGAAGCCTCAGTGCCTGCACCTTCCCTAGCATAGTTGAGAACTAATGAGGCTCCTCTGCAAGCTCTACAAGTTCCTGGCCCGTCGCACGGACTCGAAGTTCAACAAGGTGCTTGGTGCTTACCCGCTAAAGCACTGTGATTCGACAGAAAACAGGTGCTTCGTGCTTTCGGTTTGGCAGAGTTTTGTCTCGTTGGTGGACACACGGGTCAAGTTCATCCTGCCTGCAATTAGGCCGGTTAGTTTCTTGGCTTCCGTAGTTCGAGTCAGAGTCAACTCCTTGGACAAAATCTGTTGGGAACAAGCTTCGTTGCTGAGAAAGCCTGGCGCGTGAAGGGGGCATTCATCGGGCAGTGGTAAGGAATTCGCACGTGCAGCTGCGCGAGTCTTAGTGGCCGCGTTGGCAGTCATTTGCGGCCAGGCCTGCCTTAGAAGAGGCGATAGCTGTAGCGGCACAAACAGTAGCACTAAGTAGTAGTACTGGTTGGACAACCATCTGAACATGCTGTATAATATGTATATTACATAATTATTACATACATTTACATACTATATACTGTTTTGTACACACACACACACATATATATATATATATATATATATATTTACATATATATATATACACATGTTTTTTATATATCATTGGTGAACTAAAAGGGCCAGCTCCTGACTTGGATCGTCGTACTCGCAGCGTGAGTCTGCGGGAAAGCGGAAAAGGCGAAGCTTGATAGCACCATATAAAATGATATATACATATATATATATAACATAAAAGTATATATAATATGTAATGTATATATAGATTATATGTAATATATAATCTATTTTATATTGAGCATGTTATTTCAATCCGATTCTAGATTCCCCGCACTAGCCGACGTACTCGTACTCGGAAGGTCATCTGCAAGCGCTTGAACATGCCTCTTGGCGAAAACTAGTCCCTACTGCGAGATTTGGGAAACAATTCATTGCATTCTTCGTTCTACAACGAATCAGGCAATATGTAACTGCCTGGAAGCGACACATCGGGAAGTACGGTATGTCCCATCATTTTCCATATCAGGCCAGAGGGGCCGGTCCGAGCTCACATGGCCCACTCGAGTGAGTGAGTGAGTGAGTGAGCGTGTGTGTGTGTGTGTGTGTCTGCCTGTGCGAGCGTGCATGCATGCATGGTATCAATGAATGTATGTATGTACGTATGTACGCATGTATGTGAGTCCGGCCTTCTGGTGCTCGCAAGACGTGCAGCCTAGACTCAAAGGGGAAAAGGAGGGACTCTTAATGGGGACCCCTACCCTATAATGGGCTATATGATGGGTATATAATAGCTATATTAAGGGTATATACCTAGGGGTCCTTATTAAGGGGCCCTCCTTTTCCCCTTTGATAGACTGAAAGCTGGGTGAGCCGAAGCTCAGGTCTGGCAGGAACCGGCCTCCTCTCTCACTCTCGAAGCTGATCAAGTTCATGGGCGGCAAGGCGGGTTTGGGTTTGGGGGCAAAGGGCGAAAAGGGACCTTACAGCATTTTCTCTGCTGTAATGGGACAGGCATCTCTTCGTTGTACGACTCATCAGTTCGTCAAGGGTTCCGCAAGACATGTGCAAGACCGCTTCGGAATACGATGATGCACAGCCCTTTCATAAGCATTTGGTTCTTTGCATAAGGACTTTCACAGCTTTTCAGTCGCTCGCCGTGTTTGTAAGGTGGCGGCAATAAGCCTTCTGTACGACTGTGCAAGCCGGCGAACGGGGGGCAAGGATGGCTAATCGGCACCCCTACTTCGCGTATCTGGTGTGTTGTTGACGACCCCTACGGCCGGCATGGCAAGATATAGACAGACAAATGTGGCAATTTCTTGGGGTCCTCATAATAAAGGATCTTACTATATAGGAATTTCGGTTACTATATTAGGGTCCCTATTTTCGGAAACTCCCATGTCTTGCCAGGAGGGTAAGATCGCCGTTGTTGTGGGCAGCGTGACGGATGACAAGCGCGTGTATGAGGCGCGGGCACAGGGATGGCAGTGGTCCAAGGGCTTACTTTCAGATTCGGCGATCTTGCTATCTTGGAACTTGCTGTCCGTATTCAGTGCGGCTGTTCGAAATTGAACACTGGTCCCCCCCAGGGCGGATCAGGGTGACCTCAGAACACAACGCATTAAGTGTAACCTACGACTTATTTAGGTTGTTCGGAGTGGGGATAGTGGGGCTGCTTTCAAATATTCATCCTTGACTCAAGGTTGTGCTTCAAATATTCTCTTGTCATCGTGAACAGCAATGATGGCAAACTTAGGACGTCCAAGCTCCGGTTGGCAAGCGTCGTTGATGCCTCCAGCCTTTAGTGAAGCGTCATGGTATGTCATGGTCGTTTCTGCGCACAATGCAGCATGCCCTGAAGCTATAAAGGGGTTTAAATAATCATTACCAAGACTAATTCGGGGGTTCCTCATTCTGAGTTATACTAGGATTGTTCCCCAAAGCCCTATTCTTATTAAGGCCCCTAATAGTACCCTACGCCCACAAGCTCAACATGAATCCGGGCAGCCTGGCCCTCATGTGCCGAAAGGTTCCCGAGCTGAAGGTTTGCGCTCTCCGCTTCACGGAGACTTGGGCCCTGCAACGAGAATGCGAGTAATGCGTCGTAATCAGTAGTTGGGTAACAGTCTCTTGTAGGAGCCCTCAATAGCCCTCATATAGCTATAATGTTGTTGAATCATGGGCAACTTCGAGACGGGAGTTTCAGAAAGTTGGGGGCCCGAATATATGAATACATATATCATATATAATTACATATATATTTATACAAAATACATACATACACACACACACACACACACACACACACACACACACACACACGTCTCTCTCGCTCTCTGCGGATTCAGTTCTGGGGGTGATTCGTTTCCTTTCTTTTCCGGGTTTCCCATCCTATCTGGAATCCGCACACCACTGCTCTGTGTAAGTCCCAAGACCTTAAACCCTAAACCATACCCTAAACCCTAAATCATTCCCTAAACCCTAGATCATGTGTGTGAGCCAGCTTGTAGTACCGACCGTCAAAGCACACCGCACCAGAGACCTCGTCAGGCATGTCCGAGTTGCGAGAGCGTAAATCATGAGTGTGAGCGCCGAAATCATACCCTAAACCCTAAATCATACCCTCAGCCCTAAATTGCCCTAAATCATACCCTAAACCCTAAGTCATACCCTAAGCCCTAAGTCATACCCTTCTAAACCTGCAAGTCCCACGAATCCGAAGCACGGCGCTCGCCCAGAGGAGACTGCGCGCGCCCGCATCCTCAAGGCCGGCGGGGAGCCTTGGCTTTGAGAAGGATGTTAGTTTTAATGCTACATACATATATATATATATATAAATAGATAAAGAGAGATCTATCTATCTACATAAATATATATATATATATATATATATATATAGATAGTATAGGGACATACGTATGTATTGTGTATATGTATGCACCAGCATATGCGTTTATCATTTTCCATTTGCTTCATGTTTTGTGATAGCTGGTTGCCACACCTTAGATACAGACGGTAACCTGCTGTACAGGATCCCGGTCTGGGGGATGTTGGTGAGTTCGGTCTTGTCAATTCCTGGCAGGCTCGGAGGCATTTGGAGCTTGATGCATGCTTTGCTGTAGCATGTGCCTGCATCTGAGGGCCATGGCAGTTTCTTGGTGCTACGTTTACCATTTCACGTTTCATTTCTCAGGTTCGCAGATTATGATTCAATCGAATGCCACAGGCCGAAGAAGCAGACGCCAACATATCAACAATGCAGCAGGGGAGCATGTTCCGCCCAAATCAATTGAGTTTATGTTGCGATGAGTTTAGCATGTCCACCCTTCCACGAGGCCCCATGTCCGTGACGGTTTAGTGGTTTAGCGGGCTTAGGGTCTAGGAATCCCAGCCGTTACTTGTCAGATCATGACCAGGTTTAGGAAATCAACGGGGGTCACTGGGCTTCCAAACCCTAGACCATCCTCGGGCCTGTTCGAAGGGGACTTAAGGTTTAGAGCGGCCCTGCCCTAAACCCTTAAATTAAAGCCCTATACTAAAACCTTAAACCCCCCTAGCCAAAAGAATTTTTGTCGAACTGAAGGAGTGCATCACCTTCGACACCTTGGCCATGCGCAGCCCGCTTGGGATGCATGGCGGTGGTTAGTCAGGGTGCAAGGGTTTAGGGAGCGTTTCGGGTTTAGGATGAATCTAGGCCTTTTTCTCTACTCTTGTGTTCCATGTTTTCAGCGTGGGGCTTCGTCTTCTGGCATGGCCAGAATTTACGGCTGCCCTATAATTCCAAGGCGTTAGGTTTATAGGCTAGGCCTTGAATCGTAGACCCACGCACGGTCCGGCTGCGAGAGGTCAACACCTGCACTGATAAAAGATCTCTCTCCGATCGTCTGTCCTTTGAACCTACAGAAGGCGTAGCAGTTCGACTGAGTGATTGAACGGAATTACGGAGCCCGCACGGCGAGCATCATGAGCATCAGCTGGATTCTGTCTAAAAGCTCTCTCTCTTTGATCGTCTGTCCTTTGAACCTACAGGAGGCGTAGCAGTTCGACGGAGTGGTTGAACGGAATTACGGAGCACGCGGGACGAGCATCATGAGCATCAGCTGGATTCTGCTCAAAAGCTCTCTCTCCCATCGCCTGTCCTTTGAATCTACAGGAGGCGTAGCAGTTCGACCGAGTGAGTAAACGGAATTACGGAGCCCGCGGGGCGAGCATCATGAGCATCAGCTGGATTGTGTTGAAAAGCTCTCTCTCCGATCGTCTGTCCTTTGAATCTACCGGAGGCGTAGCAGTTCGACCGAGTGATTGAACGGAATTACTCAGACGGCACGACGAGCATCATGACCATCAGCTGGATTCTGTTTAAAAGCTCCTCTCTCCGATCGTCTGTCCTTTGAAGCTACAGGAGGCGTAGCAGTTTGACCGAGTGATTGAACGGAGTTACGGAGCCCGCACGGCGAGCATCATGAGCATCAGCTGGATTCTGCTTAAAAGTTCTCTCTCCGATCGTCTGTCCTTTGAATCTACAGGAGGCGTAGCAGCTGTAGCAGTTCGACCGAATGATTGATCGCAATGATGGAGCCAGCCGAGCGAGCATCATGAGCATCAGCCGGATTGCGTTTAGAAGCTTTCTCATTGATCGTCTGTCCTGTGAACCTACAGGAGGCGTAGCAGTTCGACCGAGTGATTGAACGGAATTACGGAGCGCGCGGGGCGAGCATCATGAGCATCAGCTGGATTCTGCTTAAAAGCTCTCTCTCCGATCTCTGTCCTTTGAACCTACAGGAGGCGTAGCAGTTCGACCGAGTGATTGATCGGAATTACAAAGCCCGCCGGGCGAGCATCATGAGCATCAGCTGGATTCTGTCTAAAAGCTCTCTCTCCGATCGTCTGTCCTTTGAACCTACAGGAGGCGTAGCAGTTCGACCGAGTGATTGATCGGAATTACGGAGCACGCGGGGCGAGCATTATGAGCATCAGCTGGATTCTACAGGAGGCGTAGCAGTTCGACCGAGTGAATGATCGGAAATACGGAGCCCCCGGGGCGAGCATCATGAGTATCAGCTGGATTCTGCCGGATTGTGTTCAAACGCCCTCTCTCGGATCTTCTGTCCTTGGAGCCTTCAGCAGGCGTAGCAGTTTGCTTGATTGGACGGATTCAGGTAATAATAGGGAATATATATATATATATATATATATATATATATATATATATATATATACCTATACGTATAGGATAGTACTAATATATGTTCCTAGGTGGGCCTGGAAATCTGGGGAAGCATGTAATGTCAAGCCTTCAATTCCCGTAGCCCGAGCTTCGACCTTGCGCGCCAGAAACTGCAACAAACTGTCTGAGGGAACCCAAACTCCTAAACTCCCGAAATGCCCCCCGGCTACCCTTAAACTCTGAACCCGAAACTGAGTGTGAGCGCCGAAACCCTAAACCTTAAACTCCTAAACTGTGATGTCAGCTGAGAGAATCTCTTGCCCTCTTTTAGTGTAGGCCTCTTCCGGAGGCGGGCTCAGGACCTGCAAAGCTTGCTTCGTGGAGAAAGAGCCATTGCACTTAAAACACAAAACTCCTAAACTCTATTCCCAAAACTCCTAAACTCTATTATACATTGTGTTGTAGTCCAGCCTCTGGTGACCTGCAAGCGTGCATGTGCATGTATGTCGATAGTGCATGACAGCTCCCAGTCCATACGTCCGCCTAGTGTCACCCGTTTAGATCCGCAGCTGGCTAACATGGCTAGATCACCTGCAGTCATCGAGATGATGATGCCAACACAGATCACACCGTACCTGGATCGTCTTGATCCGTTCTTGCTACATTCTATTATGGCCTGTATACATAGTCGTTATACCCCCGTCTCTAATCTCAACCCATTGAAGTGATCTGTAGCTCCGTATTCTCCGAGGTCCTATTGGTCTCTAGATGCTTCATTTGATAGGATCTTGGAGAGGGCACAGTCCATCGGGACACAGTTACTTCATTTGTTCTAAATTTGTTGTTTGAGATCGGTCCTTTGACTGTCCCGCTAGAACGTTTCACATCGTCAGACTCGGAACCATATGCCTCGCCTGGTTTGTCCGAGTGTGAGCGCCGAAACTCCTAAACTCCCGAAGTTTAGAGTTTAGGGACCCTAGACCCTAAACTCCTAAACTCCCGAAATGCTCAGGAAGGGCACCGTCCTCCTCCGTGGCCCGGTGAAAGGCCGCGAGGCCGAACGCCACTTCGGCAAGGCCTCGCTCTGTTTTCCTAGTAAATAATAACAATAATAATAATAATATATATATATGATATCATAGTAAACTATAGTATGTAAGTATATATTAGTAGTATATGGGTGGTTGTCAAAATTAGGGTTCCTTTTTGGGTACCCTAAATAATAGGGCTTGGGGTTTAGGGCTCTGTTTCTAGTATATAGGAAAAGTAGATCCCTTCATGGGGGTTCCTATAAGGTACCCTTAGTAGTATAGAGCCCCAAATTAGGGGATCTATTTTCTAGATCCTCCCGCGGGGGTTTCTAGTATACGGGAGTTTCCGAATATTAGGGGTACCTTTCAAGGGATACATAAGGGTGCCTTAAAGGGATCTATAAGGGGTTCTATAATGGGTTTAGGGTTTAGAGTTTCCGAATAAAAGGGGTACCGTCTTTTGGGGGTCCCTATAATAAAACTATAGTATGTAAGCATATATACGGACATATACTATGACTTATTACATCATAGGTATCATGGAGCACGTGGAAGTGGGAGGGGGGGTGTGGGGTAGTGGAGGATTGGGAGGTACTGATGGTGTGCAGCCTCTTGTTTTCGAAGTGTGTGTGTACACAGATATGCAGATGTGAACATACTCGTTTAGCAAATCGGGGATACCCTTAGATGCAGCGACTTGGCAGACTCCCCGATGGTCAATGTGTGCGATGCCCACGGCAGGAGGTATGTAGGGTGCAATGGTCAAGGATGTCCAGGCGCCATCGAAGCAACGGGCAGTGAGTGAGCTTGCGCCATGCCGTTGGTTTGGCTAGCGACCTTCGAAGATACAGTGGGATGGTGTCTAGGCTTGCCTGCCTGCTACGATGTAGCCAAGCAAACGTCTTTTGCTCACGTGCCACTGAAACTAATCCTGATTTCAAGCTTCGAGGCTCGGCACTCTGCCTGTGCATCTACATGCATGCAGGAGCACACACTTACATTACATATCATGCAAATTGTACGTTTTATACATAATGTACAGAGAGAGAGACACACAGATAGATGTGCAAGTGCGTACATTGCTCTGTTTTGCATTGAAAGATGCTAGTTTAACCAAAAGAGTATACCCTACATTATATTGCATTGAGACTACGTCGTTCTATATTGGGTATGTTACAGAAGTTAAATAAGTTTACCAGCCCATGTGCATCTGCATGAACATGTGCCATATACTGCCCTACAGTAGGCATGTCACTGCATTATCTTACACTAAACCGTACCACAGTACAGTACATTCGGTAGAGTACGTTTACATCTGATTTTGCATTGCGTGATGTTACTTTACATACGTGCGCACCTACACAGAAACTGTATGGAATGTCTGCATCTCACGCATGGAAAATCTTATGCCAGTACATGCTTATGTGTTTGTTATCATTCTGTGGAAGGGCCCCAAGTCTCGTAGCAAGAGCTTGGCGAGGCTCCTGGGGTGCCCAACTCGAAGACGGCCCCCCACGTCCGCTCCAAAGGCACGGAACCCCTGGTCCGGTTTCAGGTTCCTGTAACTGTAAGGGTTCCTGGGTGTCTCTAGCAGTTTCAGGACATCGGGCAGTTTGTGGTGCCCAATGGAGTTTGCATGTCGTTCAGCCCACAAAGAGGAGTTGTGGGGCTTGCTGGAGCCACGTTGAACAAGACTCGCTGTGATGCAGGAGGTGTTTAACCGCTACCCCGATTGGATCTAGATCAAGATCCCAATATCTGAGGCTAATTTCCAAGATTCTACTTACCCTTCTTGTGTCTGTCAATGTGGGCTTTCTGGTACAAGGACCAACAGACCAGCATCGAAGCTTGCCCCGAAAAAAAACAACAGAAGCAGCAGAAATCCCTGCACAGAACCAAGGGACTGCAAGCGGTACGCAAACGAGAGCTCTTCAAGGAACATTTGCAGCATCGTAGTCGAGCCCCTTGTGGGGAAAAAAAGCAGATCTCCGTCCCAGGTCGCAAGTTCGAGAAGTCCCGCGGACGCAGGAAGTCTCGCGGCTTCAAGGTGTAAGCATGCTCGGACATATCCCATGGCACTCAGCGGCGGCGTGGCAAAGAAAAGAGCTTGGTGCGCTGGCACTTGGTCTTAGCATATCAAGCAGCAGGTTTAAAAGAGTGCCTAATACTGTGCAACACCGTCAACCCAGTACTTCCCGAGAAGTGCATTGAGGCTGTATTTCGGTTGCAGTGTTGCAATCTGTTGGTTTCTGGGCGATGCCCTTCCTCAACATCGACCCGAGTACACACTGTTGGCCCCTTAAGTGCTATGCTCAGAGACGTCCAAGGACTCCGGCTGGAGCAAGACTGGTTCTTTCTTTCCTTCAGAATCCTGTAGAAGAACCCGCCAGGGCTGATTGAATGTTTCAGCTTCAGCTCGTATGTTCATGGCAACGGCAGCAGGGCCTTCTGCAGCAGTGCAGTGGCCGAAACACTTCCCATGTCAGTCGGATCCCGGAAGTTCGAAACTGCGAAGTTCGCTTAAGTGAGCCATGCATTGCAGGCACGGCTGCGGGTTCCCAGCCTGCCGGTCAGCGGAAGAAGCTCCTTCTTACAGGCTGGGAGTGCTTTCGATAGTCGGGGCTCAGTGCTACAGAGTCGTTATCTAGCTGTTTGCTCTTCTCCTGCTTCCAGCAGGGGCCCAATGAGGTTTTTGGCAACAGGCCCAGAACCACATCAGGTCTTCCGACTCCCGCAAGAGCTTCTTAGCAAACCAGAGGCTGCAGAGATCAGCATGCCATAGTGGCACAGGCATGGTAAGCACATCCAGCAGCCCTTGTGTTGGTATCCTTGATCTGCGCGTGCTGGAAATACAAGTGCCTTAAACACCCCTGCCTGGAAGCTACCCATGAGACTCCCGGAGTGGTTTGATGGCCAAACCCAAGCGGGGATTCTTCGCCAAATGACAATATTAGACATCGTAAGCGCTAAGAACATTCGCAAGACTAGGGGCAAAATAGGAATAAGGAGAATCACAATACTATGAATGAAACCCACCTTTTGACCATCAACTCGTAACTAAGCAGCTTTCTCGGCTGAGTCATCACTAAGACCCGGCAACTCTATCGCGTGGCAAAGGCAGGGCTGCAAAGATCCTGGCCGAAGCCCGGAACCAAAAGGGGTCGAGTTCAAAACATCGATTGTGATGGCAACATGTTCAATATTGGGGTCCCTTTTTGGGTCCTTATTTTCATACGGCACCTAATATTTAGGATACCCAAAAAGGGACCATCATTTTGACAACCACCCATGTGTGAGCTTGCATGACACAGCAGGAGGAGACGTCAAACCTTAGACCCTAAACTGCACCAGCAACCTCGCCTTACACGTCTAAGTAGTAGTAGAGTAGTTAACCTTTAACCTTTTTTGTTGGGTAGTATAGTCCCTATATAATGCCCATATAACCAGGAATGTTAACCTTTAGTTCCCCATGATACCCGACAGTAGGTAAGTGAGCGTCGAAACAGAGAAGCCGATTGGGGTTCATGTCTGGGCTTGGGTGTTCTCGGCTCGGGTGACACGTCATGAGCCAGCTCTTTTTGTACAATCTTCGGGCAGACCTCTAGTTGGGTTAGTGGAACTTTTGAATTCAGCTGTTCCTTCTGGTGCGGCATTGTAACTACACACCGTTTTGCAAAGGAGCCGTGTCACCTATTCCCCACCTCCCAACACCTGTCCAACCTACGCCTGCGCCGCAGAAGGCCCGTGACGAGGATCCAGCACCGGCCTCCAACAAGCAAGGGGAGGCAGGTGCCGGAGGAAGCGGTGATATTCGGGTCAGTTTACCTTGCGCCCTTGACCTTTACACTCAAGCCTAAGGAAGTTTATTGACCATCGGGTGGGACCCCGTTGCCGGTGTTTTGACAAACCCTACGACCTCTGTACCCCGCCATGCACCATGAGACCAAGAACAAGCCTGGCTGATTCGGGCTTGGCCCCTGAACCCTAAACCCTAAGCAGCGGTCTTCAGGGGAGGTTTGTGTTGACAGAAGCAGAGTCATTCGGGAGACCCAGTCCGACGACTGATTGATGCTTGCAGTTCTTTCTTAACCCCGTGCTGCGAACATTCCTTTGCAGCTCGAAGGCTGAAGTAAAATTGTAGCACTTTCTTGTGCGGGCTTCGGCATTTTGAGTTTGAAAGTTTCGCGGTCGAGTCGTCAATGGAATGCAGCCCGAAACCTGGTGAAAGGAAGCAGCGACGAAGAAGCGGCCTTTGGCTACGCCGATGCAGGCGGAGAGTCCATGAGATTTTCAACATTGTCCTGCTCAGACCAGTTTTTGGAGTCCATGAAGCGACAGTGGAATCCAGGAGGCATGCTCGAGTACCTTCCGGTCTGTTTGGATCTGTAGGAATCCAAACAAGTCCGGTGCAGATAGCTTCTCCCTGGTACTTAGTAGGGAACGGGGGAATGTATCCCTACAGTAGTCGCTCTTTGCTTCCCAATAATAGTGCCCATAATCCATTCCCCCATTCCCTACTAAGCACCACCCTCGTATCGGGCTGGCCAAGGTCTTCAATGTAGCCGAGAATCGCTGGGACCTCGGATTCCAAATTGGTTCATCGTCCCATCGTGTGGCAAGAGTCTGTGTGCGAGCTCGGCTCTAAGATTGTTTGGCAAGGCAGAATCCAAGGGGGCTTGGAGGTGTTTGGGGCTAGATTTGCTGATTTGCTGCTGGATTCGTTTTTTTCTGTTGATCGTCTCTCCCCGGCCCTGGTTTCGTGTGCTATGCCTGCTCATTTTATTATCGCTTGCTACATGATTTGCTTTGTTTAATAGTAGGTAGGTAGATAGGCAAGAACGCAGAAAGATAGCTCGACATGCGCTTGTACACGTCAGCTTTGCATGATCCGTCACATGCATCAGGAAGTGCAGATCGTGGACATATAGCGTTCGTGGACATATAGCATTTTGCTCGTGAATCTTATGGCCCAGCCCGAATAAATGCACACCTTCTGCACATGTACATCCAATGTACAAGGTGCAAATCTTTGCATTTCATTTGCTGGTTTTGCAGCCTATGAAATGTGCCAGCCTGATGGAGCCTTCCTCAAGCTTGGACAGTTCGCTGGTCACTACCACCGCGGCATTACTGATTTCTGGACTGGTAAATCAACATCTGCTGAGGACCGCAGCCTTACGTGGGAGACAGAAAAATGACTCGCTCCAAGCCCGGGGCTCGGAGTGGGAGATGCTGGCCTTAATCATCAGAATAGGGTTTGGGGGGATATTATACCATATTTATAACAAGGACCCCCCCAAAACCTATGCTTTGCCGGACGGTCTGAGAGAAGTTCTTGTTTTTGCACGGAGGAAGACTCGTGGCCCGAAGTGGCAATTGCCCAAGACCTGGGCAAGCCACAAGGGAACTTCAATCGTATGGCATGATTCACGAAGCGCGCGCTCCCTCGCCCACACCAGTTTGCACGTAACATCGTCCGAGTCAATGGAAAGGTTTTTGTTCCGACGCCTTGCATGCTTGCAGATGGGTGGTTGTCAAAATTAGGGTCCCTTCTTGGGTCCCTATTATAATACGGCACCTATTATTCAGGGTACCCAACAAGGGACTACAATTTTGACAACTACCCAGATGTTGCTTGGCAGAAAAGCAGCGGCTGCCGATGCCGAGGTTCAACGAGACCGGTCAGTTGAAGAAACCGGTAGACGCGCAGGCCTCAGATCAGATCCCTCAGTCCCGACACTGAGTTTTCTGAAGGCAACGGACCCTCATATAGAGTCCCAGATATTCGGATCCTTACTGCAAGGATCCCGAGAGGGAACCCCTTAGTTTTCCAAGACCTGGGCTTGTCTAGTTGCAGGGTGTGTGTGGTGGTGCGGGCTTATGCACGATCGGCCGTGCGGCTGCGATCAAGTGCAGATGGGGAACGGGCTGCTGTCTGGTGGCCTTCTGGGTGAGGAATCTGCCAAAGCTGTTGCCTGCTGTGCGACCGCAGCCAAGGAGATATATGAAGGTTTTTTCATCACAAAGCCGAAATCCCGAAGCTGTGCTCGTGTCGGCGCATGACCTTGCAGAGGATCCCGGAAAATGCAGCTAAAAGACATGAGATTGCAAATGCTATTGGCTATGGCTCAAGCGTCTGATGGTCAGTTACATGATCTTCCGATCTTCCAGCAAAATCCGTGTTGACACAGGCGTATCACTCATTCCACGTGTCCTCCGAACTAGAAGCCTCATGTTGATCATGTTCTTCCTGGAGTTGCTCGGGAAGCTCAGAATCCTGTGTGTATGTAGCTTCGCCATACAGGTTCAACAAGTGAGGGTTGGGGCATGCAATAGGCCTGGATGCAAAAGGGTTGGGGCTACCGTAGCCGATGGACAAGTCGCGTCTGCCGAACCGGCAGCGCTACGCAGGCGCCGGCTTCAATGGTTGAGCGATGCTCGCAGACTTTGTCCCTGTTGCTGGCCTTCATCCCCTGTGTCGCTGGCCAATCTCTCGATGAGATATTGCTGCCGGCAGTAGTTGGAATTGGAGGCCTGATTTTTGGACTTCTCCTCGTCTTCGGCTCCGTTTTTTGCGCGCGGCGGTGTCTTTTCAGTTCTCGGCGGCATGAGCAGAAGGATGACGGTGAAGATGCTAGGTGCGTGGCTTGTGTGGCTTGTGGTGGTGCTGGCTGTGGTCTCTGTACCGCTCCGTGCATGGCTTGCGATAACAGAGGATGCGGCTTGTGCGCATCAAGCTCTCGGGCACCGGAGGCAGCTATCGGCGAGTGGGATCGTGGTAGCGATCCCAAGCCACTCCAAGGCGGCATGGCCCCCGCACGGACGGAAGCAGTTATCGGCAATGGTGGTGATGCTGGAGATTCCAAGCCGCATGAAGCCGTCACGGCATGGGAGATGCCTTGCTTCGAGGGTGATATAGAGCAGTCCCATGCGTCGCCTCTGTGTATTCTCCTGGAGCCCAAAGGCTCTGCTGCAGGGCCTCCATAAACGGCCGCATGCTTTCTCAGGCTGAAATGGACGAGATGGCATGATTCCATGGAAGCTGGTTCAGCC